CCAAAATTCAAATAAAAATCAAACTCAAACTCAACTTTCCCTAAATTCCTCTGAAAAAACACACCCATGATTATAAATTACTCAAAATTTATTAAAGTAAGATAAAATATACGAAGAAGTACCGATTCTAATTTATTCAAACTATTACTCCATCACTCATGGCTATCAGGTCCGGCTTAATATAGACACGATAATTTATGAGAAATATAAAATTAATAAATAATTAAAAATATATTAATAAAAATAATTATTATATAATACTTCCTTCGTTCCACGACAGATGACCTATTTTCCCTTTTTGTCCGTCCAATTAAAAATGATATTTTTCTATTTTTTGTAAATTTATTCATTTTAAACATATTTAACAAATATAAATCAATTTAATTAAATCTCTAACCTCTTGCACATAGGACTCATTCAAAACTCATTTATTTTTATCTCTTTCATCAATAAATAAATATTTTTATCTATATTTAAAACTTCTTAGTTTTAATAAAATTAGTTTCAAGTTAATTATAAATTAATTAATTATTATTTTTTATTTATTTGTATTATATAAAATTTTATTCTCTAGAAAATGATATTCATATTGTATATATTTTATTGATATATAATGCTAAAAATATTTAAAATACCAACAACACTATCCATATAAAAAATAATAAAATAATATTATAACTTATTATTAATAACTTACTAATCTACACTACCTAAAATACTGTGTCCTTAATAAATGGATCATCTTAACCGGAACGGAGGGAGTATAATAATTATAAATTAAAATTAATAAATTAGTTTTATTAAACTTTAAAAAATATATAAATTAGACAATTTAAAATAAAATTAAAATATATAATTATTTTTTTTAAAAAAAACAATAATATAAAATGTGAAATGAACCGAAACAACAATATAAACGCTTTACGTTGAACAGATTGAGTAATATATGAAAAATTCCTAAATCTATTGTAACTTAATAACAGTAATATGTATTTTAATCCTTTAACAACTATACTGATTAGTTTTTAATATATATTTATTAAAATATATTCCATCCGTTCTAAACAAGGTGCAATATTTGCTTTTGGCACGAGTTTTTAGGTAGGTAATATTAAGTATGATAATTTAGAAATTAGATGATGTGATGGACAGAGAAATACATATTTTATTTATTTGGATGATGTGAGAGGATAAAGTGTGGGATAAATATTATATATAATTAATTATTTTCTATTTTGAAAATATTGCATGATATTTGAGACATACCAAAAATGAAATGTTGTAGGGTATTTAGGACGGGTTGGGATCATCGGTCTAAATTTATCCAGTTTAACCGGTTCACCCAATCAAAATTAAACGCGTGTATTTATTTGTTTATATTTTTTTTATTTTTTTAAAAATCAAAATCTAATTAATTTACCAAATATTTGCATAATAGTCCCTATCATTTTCCTCACAATTCTTTTATTCATTATTATGTGTTCTGCAAATCAATTTTACCATTAGACCCCAATCCTTCTCTATTCTGCGTTCTCCAAATCGACTTCACCTTCCGACCCAGTCCTTCCGCCTCCAAGAAAACTGGGTAAATTTGGACCGATAATCCCAAGCCGTGTTTACTCGAACGCGACTTGTGTTGTCTTTGACTCTTGTGTAGTGTTACGTGTCTTGGGGCCCTAAACCTGAGATTGAATTGTTGCTTTCATGTTCACATCGCCGATCGATCACCGGCATCTTGCTTGCATTCCATGGACGCAGCGCCGGTAGGGTTTTCTGCGCTTCCGTCTGGGGAGCCGGATGATATTCAGAATTTCGAGGCGTCCGTGGCGGCGGTCGAGAGATTAATCAAATACCAATTTCGTGACATGAGGCGTCTCGAAGATGCCTTGATGCATCCCTCCTATACAAACTCTTCGTCCTATCAGCGACTCGAATTTGTAGGTGATGCCGCTTTAGGTTTTTCTATATCCAATCTTGTTTTCCTGCAGTACCTCGACGCCGACCCCGGCAAACTCTCGTTGGTGCGAGCAACCAACATTAGCACCCAGAAGCTCGCCCACGTCGCCGTCCGCCACCAGTTTTATAAGTATGTTCGCCATAATGCTGTTGTTCTTGACGAAAAGGTAATTTTCTTTTCTTTCTCTGTTTTTTGTGAAGAAATTTAACGCTGCTCTTTTGCAACTGGAATTTAATTTTTCAAAGTTTAGATATATATATATGATTTCTTCCTATCTACAAATGCAATATGTATGTGCGTCATCTTCCTCTCTTTCTTTTTGTGGTTGTTTATACACAATTGTAATTTTAGTACATAGTGCTGGCGAATGCGTCAAATAACCACTAAAATGAGGGAATAGCCTCGTCGTATAAAAGTGTTGCGCAAAAAATCACTGTTTGTTTGTGGTGATTAACACCAACAAACAAGGCCAACAGACGATTTTTCTTAATCTTTCTATACGTAGTGTCGAAAGAAACTACATCTCCAAAATCAATATAATCTGCTCGCATTCTCCCGTCAGCCCAAAACATGTTTGTAATCATACCATCTTCATCCACTTGAATAGAATACGAGAAATTTGAGTCTCTACTTTGCATTCCTTGCAAATATTCTAACACCCCTCCAGTATCTCCCATCTCCATGTACTTTGTCCTCTTCGATCGCAAGTAATTTTTAATGTCTTGCCTTGTAAATCCCAAGTTATCCCGACTACCGGCTTCCTTAACCATTAAATCATGTGATAGTTTTGGAGCAAGTCCCACATGTTCGGCTATTTCAATTTGCGCAGCATGGACCTCGTCTATCCTCCTATGCGACGGGAAAAAATGAGTCTTCTGAGGACTAGTGAGCTGATGAGTGTGTTGAGAAATAAACTCAAACACTTCGTATTTCTCATTATCTTTCAATCCAATTCTCATCATTTCCTTACACCCGAATCTTGTTATTGCCCGAGGAGCTCTTATATTATTATTTCTTTTATCTTCCCCTTTGTACCTTCGGCATTGCAAAAAAACATTCTAAATTTTATCCTTCCTGTTCGATCTCTATGCATTTTATGTCTTTTTATGCCAAAACCTGTTTTCCTGGCATATGCCAAGTAAAACTGATAAGCGTCTTCTTCATTGTCAAATTCCTTTCCAATTTGAGGTTTTTCTTCGATAGAAATATGATGATTATATGGTTGATCATCATTTTCCATATTCGTAAAGTCTAATCTACGTAAAGAAGAAGATTTATTCATGTCTGACTTGTCAATCTCCATTATCTGTAATTTAAAAATTCAAAACAAACATCATTTAAAAATTCAGCCAACATCATTTAAAAAGACTAATAATTTATCACAACAAAAAACTAAAAAATCAACTTATCCACTTTTGCACAAAATGCCAATGTAAATTAATAATAATCCATAGAGTAGATGGGTGAACAAATTCGACTGAAATAATACTACTATAGAAATTTAGACAAAAGTAAAGTCTTAATTTCAAAATTATATAGACTTTATTAAAAATCAAATACAAGACATACATTTCAAATCCTCTGCGGACATTCATGAACACTTGCTAAAATATTTCACAATTTTTAAAAATTATTATTGATTATTTTTCTATCCCATGTTGTGATGTGTTAAGGTGTATAAATACAGTATAATAAAAATAAAAAGATAAAAAAAGCCCTAGAGTGGGAAGAAAAAACGAGAAAAGTGGAAAAGAAAAACAAAATATAAAAAAAAAATTACCTGTTGTAGTTCTCTTGGCGGTGGAAGGACTGGGTCAAAAGGTGAGTCGATTTGGAGAACGCAGAATAGAGAAAGATTGGGGTCTGAAGGTAAAATCGATTTGCAGAACATAGAAAAATGAATGGAAGAATTTGGAGGGAAATGATAAGGACTATTGTGCAAATATTTGGTAAATTAATTAAAATTTGATTTTTAACAAAATAAAAAATATAAACAAATAAATATACATGCGTTTAATTTTGATTGGGTGAACCGGTTAAACTGGGTAAATTTAGACCGATCATCCGAACCCGTTTGGGACGGATGGAGTATAATATAAAACTATTAAATAAAAATAATATTCTATTTGTGTTCAAACTAAATATTCCCTCTATGTCGACCAATAAAAATTTATATATCTTTTAATAAATAAATATTTTATTTATATTTAGATTTTTAATTTTTTATAAAATCAATCTAAATTAAGTTTAAATAATTAAATAAATAAATATTCTATAAAAATTTATTATTTACAAAATAATATTTATATTTCATATATTTTATTAAAATATAATATTAAGAGTATTTAAAAATATATTTTTGAATATATTTAATAATATATATTAATTCATATTTTAAAAATACTAATAATAATTCTCGTATAAAATAATATAATAATAAATAATACCTCATTCGTTCCAAAATTAAATATCTATTTGTTTTTTGCACGTAATTTTAGAAATATTAGTATTATATTATGATATAATAGGAATAAAGTAGAAATGACTAAAATAACTTTATTAGTATTTGTGTAATATATTGTAAGTGGTAAGGGTATTTGTAATGTTAGGTAGGTAGTACCGTTACTGAAAAAAAAAATTAATACTTTGTTATGGACGAACTAAACTAGAAAAATGAATATTTTGTTATATAACGAAGGAAGTATAATAATTTATTATTAATAACTTACTAATATATAATATTAAAAAAATATTTATTTGTACGTAATATTAATGTGATTTTTGAAAATAACGAGAATATTTTTATTAACAACGTAATATAAATATATTATATTTATATAATAAATTATGAGAAAAAATATTTCTAATATTAAATTGATAATACAATTACTAAAAATGCACATAAATAAATTGCTATTATTACGGAAAAGGTCTGAACGATCAAACGTCGTCGTCCGGTAAGCCTAAGTTTTAAATAAATGTATAAAATTTATTTATTTTTTATTTTTTATTTTTTATCGGAATATAAAATTTCTTATTTTTATTTGACGGCATCAGTGTTTTCTACAGTTTTAATTAGGGTTCCGATTTCATCGTCTCTGCTGCTCGGCGAAGGGCCATTCCATTGCCGCGCCTTCAAATTTCAACTTTGGAGACCGTTCGGCTGCAGCCATGTATGGGAACAGAGGGTATGTCCAACAGACCCCGTTTTATCTGTTTATCTATTTATTTCGTCTCTAATATATCCTTTTATCCGTTTTGTGTTTATTTGTTGGGAATTGTCTGATTGATGATCAGAGATTTTGATCTGAGACGTAACGTTGTTGGTCGTGCTTATTTTCTTGTGCTTATTAATTTTCATGTTGGTTTTCCTTTTTTTCTTTTCGGAGTTTTATTTGTAGTGGCACGAGTTTTGGTAAATATGTTGATGTTTCCGAAGAGGTTTTTGAATTTTGTGGGTGTCGGATCTTGATGAAGCCATTCCCTTTTTCCTATCTAAAACGATTGGGGTTCAGAGGTTCGAATTGATGAATTATCGAATAAATGAAAAATAAAAAAAATGCAGTAGTAAAACTGCTGCAGCTTTGAAAATCTGTGTTTTCATTGATACTTATTATAAGGAGCAACGACACAACTCCAAGAATGTGGAATTTGCGATTCCCTCTTTCAAGTGGAACTAAATATTTCTTGAAAGTTTGTGGAGAGGATGTTTTTATTTAGGTTTTGTGTATTGTTCTGTGAATGTGGTAATTATGAGGGATTATATTAAATCTAATGATGACTGAAATGTTTGGAACAAATTCGTAACAAAAGGTGTACACGTTTTGTCTGGTTGCATTGTTAGGATGTTCTTTTTTCTTTATAATCATTAGCCAGGTAGAATGTTAGGTTCGACATGAAGTTCCTTGAAAATTCGACTGTTAGAAAGCTATGCCACGTGTGTCAATTTGAATGTGCTGAACTTGGAACGTATATGATCTAATTAACGAACCCTCCCTGCTTCCTTGACAGTCTAGTTAATGCGAATATATCCACAGGCTCAACATACCTAAAATAAGTAACTAAGTTAAAAAGAAATATATTAGGGATTAGAGTTTCACAATATCCGATCTTTTTGACCTTATTTCTGAAGCGATATTGTCATTGTGCTATGATACTATCATGCATACTAGGAACATCGAAGATAATAAAAACTTAAGTGCCTGTTGTTTTGGGTTTTCCCTTTAAGATTCATTGGTATCTTGGATACTATGTAGGCCTGTGTGAAATTCTTACATATCCCTCGGGTTTTAAGCATCTTCATCTGGAAAAATGTCAATGAATTGCATTTTTGTTTCCCTGATTTAAGTTTCAATAGCCTAACATAGTGTGCTAATTCGATTAATATAAAGCGACTATTTGTGTTTTGTTTTGTTTTGTCTTTGGAGGTTGTTCATTGCCTTAAACTGAGTTGGTTTTTAAAAATCAATTGGATTGCTATGGAATCTTGATATTATAGAATATGTTCCTTTTGCCTGTGTCGTGTTTTTATTTATTTTCTAGTAGTATTATTATTTATGTATATCCACAATTGGATTCTTGAAATATGAGTAGACGTGCTTCAGATACAGTTAGAAAACTAGTGTAGGAGAAAAACATGGGTTGGGATTGGCTATATTAACAAGGTTGATCGGGGGGGTATTTTCCTTCCTTGGGTGTGACTAATTGAAGGTCATTGTTTGGGAGCGGGGGGGTTTCGGATGGGTACGAGATCGGCTCAAAGAGACCAAGATTGATGGAATCAAATCCCTACTTCGCAGTGAACAGCAGTTCAGGAGGTTATGGCTATGGCAGGAGGTATCAGCCTTCTGCCTTTCCGGTGGTTCGTTTGAGAGGTCTTCCCTTCAACTGCACAGATGTTGATATCCTGAAGTTCTTTGCCGGGCTGGATATTGTGGATGTCTTCTTGGTGAACAAGGATGGAAGATTCTCGGGAGAAGCTTTTGTGGTCTTTTCTGGGCACATGCAAGCTGACCTCGCTCTTCAGAGGGATCGGCAAAACATGGGAAGGCGGTATGTCGAAGTGTTTAGGTGCAAAAAGCAGGACTACTACAACGCTATAGCTGCTGAGGTGACTGAAGGTGCTTATCCTGGGATCGATAATCATGGTCCCTCGCCTCCTCCTCCACCTCGACGCAAGCGATCTCCAGATAAAGATAAAATGGAGTACACAGAGATGTTGAAGATGCGTGGGCTCCCTTACTCTGTTACGAAATCAGAAATCAAGAGGTTTTTTGAGGACTTTGATGTTGCAGAGGAGAAGATCCAGATTGCATACAGGGCTGATGGGAAAGCTACAGGAGAGGCGTATGTAGAGTTTTCTTCGGCTGAGGTAGCTAGGAAGGCCATGTATAAAGACAAGATGCTGATTGGATCCAGGTATGTCGAACTCTTTCCTTCTACTTCATATGAAGCTAGACAAGCTGCTTCAAAGAGTCGGCACTAGATAGATAGATAAATAGATAGATGATGATAAAAGACATCGATTAGCCCTATGAAATGAAATGAAATGAAATGCTCCTGTCATGTGTGAGATGTTATTAGAGAAACAATTTCGATCCTGGCGGAGATTTTAGGACAATGGGATATTTGAAAATGATGAACGCAGTAACGTTTGTTACCTTGCCTGCCTGCCACTGTGCTTAGTTTCTTGTTACACTTGTTCTGATTATATGTCACCTATTGATCAATGTAAAATTAGTAGAATAGCTTGCCTGCCTGCCTACCTGCCCTTGTGCTTAGTTTTGGGTTTTGATTTGATTAGTAAAATTTTGAATTTGAATAGGCGATATAAACAGGAAGGATTTGATGCCGATTGAAATGTTATGACCCAATTAGAATTTTAAATCCAACGGTTGCGTTTGTTTCACTTTCTCTTTCGCCTTCTTCTACTTGTCCCTGTTTTATCCATCTGCTGTCTCTGGCTCACCCGTTGCTGTTCGCCGGCTAGTTTCAGGCAGGCAGTCGGAGTCTGTAAGGTTTATTTGTATGTTTATTTCTATTTTCCTACTTTATTTTGTTGACAAGTTAATGGTGTCTTTTTAGATATTAATAATCATGTTTTAAAACTGACATATTAATGTTTGATACATTTTTCCATACTAATTGAGCTTATCTATTTTATGATTTTTGTTTGTCTCATGCATTTTCTATTACAATAAAAAATAATTATACTACTAATATCAAAATATTTTTTTAATTTTGATATAAATTATAAATATATCATTATATCATATATATATATATATAATACAAAGGATGCCCCATAAGCGATAGCAGATAGTGAGGGGAAGATTTGTGACTGTGAGTCATGTGTGCATACTCTCGACGCCTCTAGGTCTAGCATACCAAACATGGTCTGTCTAATGTGATTTGTCCTGCTAGGTTTAGTTTACAGGTTATTTGGTTCGGTCGGAAGTTTAATTAACGGTTATTATGAATATCTTTGTCCAACAAGGAGAGAGTATTTGATATTTTGGTACGTAGACATTTTATTTTAAATTTAATAAAGGATTAGGAATGTAAGATTATCATTTATATTGTATAATAATTGCTAAAAATTTATAATAAATATATTGTCAAATTGTCCAATCATGAGCCTTGTGTAGCTTAGATGATAGGTGGCGCTGGCGCTGCAAAATTTCGATGTAACAACCTTGTTGATTACCGGATCAATAAATGAAAACATAACAATGGGCAACATATAAAAATAGAACTACCCAGTGTGATTGTTTAGTTTGGATTTTGGATTTTGACTTTTGAGATTTGAATGATAAAAGATTTGAATTGAAATAGTTGTGTAATGTGACATAAATAAAGCCGTTAAGATGAGTTGAGTATGTGGGGTTTTACTAAGTTGTAATTTTTTAAGCCCGTTAAAATGCTGGTCTAAATGGGCCATTAGCCTGCAATGGATAAATATAATAATTAGTACTCACATGACAAGTTAAATGTATTTTTTTACCATGTCACATTAAAAAATTATAATAAAAGTAATCAAATATTAATATCATAATATATTTTAATTTTATATAAATTACAAATATACTATTGTAAATACAATTAATTTATAAATAACCTACAAAGAGTAAAAAATATCAAAATATCTTGTACATTTTATTTAATAAGTAACATATTATTATTTTTAATCTACTAAAAAAAATATTTTAAGTTAAGACGAATAAAATAAATTTTATATTATCATTAGTTTAAATAAATTATGAATATTGTCTACACGTTTTTCTTCTCTAACTATGTTATCTGTCACTTTTATTTGTTTTCGATTTTTCATCATTTGTTTTGTTCGCATTTTATTTTATTATTTTATAATTTTTTAATTCCAAAATTTATTCACAAATTCATAAAATTAATTATGATTTATTTTTAAAATAGAGTATTTCTTATTATTAATTTTTTTTAAATACACCAACTAATAATATTTAGAATCGAGAATTTTCATATTTGTTATTTATTTTAAAATATTTCTTATTTAAATTCTAAATAAAAATTTATTTAACGATTTTTAAATATTAATTACAAAGATATTTATAATATTAATATATTTTTTAATATTTTTAAAAAGCGTGTGGGCTGGCCCGCTTAGCTTGCTAGCCGCCGGTGGATTAGGTTGGGCTGATGAAATTTTGATCCGTTCCGTCACGGGTTGACTCGCAAACAAGGGTTATGGTGGGTAATGGGCTAATCGATCTGTTCCACTAACCCATTTTGACAGGTATAGATTCAAGTAAGTATGATAAAATATTTTGAATGTAAAATCAATTTTTAATATAATATAAAAACTATTTTAGTTAGAAATCACTGTTAAACAAAAATAATTATGTTAGCCTATCTATATATCCATACTGAAGGGATTAGATAACATATTGATAGTGTGAGCGTATTGATTAGAATTAATTTATTAGCTCAGATATTAATTCAACAGTTACTAGTGAAATGGGTTATTTATTAGATCAGATATTAATTCAACAGTTACTAGTGAAATGGGTTATTTGTTGCAACTGTTAAATAATTTAAGATGTATTTTTAATTATATATATATATTTTTTGACCGATCATCAATTATATTTGATGATCGGTTATGAGTATTTAGAATCAAGTCTAGTTATGAGTATTTAGAAAAATTCGTGGAAGATTAATCATCAAGTTTCACACTTGTTCGGAGTTCGGACAAGAAAATTTAAAGCAATGGCAATCATTTACTTACTAGAAATTGTTGTCAACTGAAATGGGCTTCCGGATGGCTCAAGTGTTTTGGGCTGATTTTCGGTCGACTCTAGAAAATCTTGAGGCTAATCTCAATTAAGATAAATCAACAAACGAAAATAAAATAATGACAAAAATAATAATAAAAAAAGACAAGTAAAACGAAAGAAAGACAAAAAAAAAAAAAAGGTAAATTATATGAATTAAAAAAATGAAAAAAAAAACAAAAAAACAATACAACAACATAAGGAACAAAAGATAAATAAAATAAAATGATGAAAAATTGTATTTGTTGTAATTATTAATATAGGAATAACGAATAGAAATATTAATTATTCCTACTGTTAATCACTATTTTATATGATATTAATATTATTATAATATATTTTGTGTATATATGTATATGCAGTAGGTGTTGTAATATGTAATATATGAATATATGTATGTATATAACATTATTATGATGATTGATGTTAGGGAGTTATAGTGACCGGAGAGAAAGAGATAAAGACAAATGAAGTTGAGTGTATTTTATTTCTACCAAGAACAACTATATATATATATAGCAAATACACCGTATTTTTATCAAACCAATGAAATTATAGTACGTTGCATCCACACAATATATATGTGTTGTCCACGTATGTACATTGTATAACACTTTCTCTTGGATGTTTTTATACAAAGAATGTGCTTCGTTAAAACTTTAATATGAAAAAACCCCGTGGGAAAAAATCATAGTGAACGAAAAAGAGTACATCATTCTTGTATTGATTTGCTCTCCCTAATTTGGATTTTACTTGAAATCTTTAAGCCGACGCATTCCAATTCATTTCTCCAATTTGTTGAATGTTGCTGTTGGTAGGGACTTGGTTAATAAATCTGCAAAATTGTCAGATGATCGGATTTGTTGGACATCAATTTCATCATTCTTTTGCAAGTCGTGAGTAAAGAAAAATATTGGGGAAATATGTTTTGTTCTATCTCCTTTGATATATCCACCCTTTAACTGAGCAATACAAGCTGCATTGGCTTCATATATAGTTGTTGGGGGATTTTCGTTGTTCGATATTAACCCACAATTCTTTTTAATATGATAGGTCATTGACCTTAGCCAAACACATTCTCGACTCGCTTCATGAATAACCAATACTTCAGCATGATTTGATGATGTGGCGGTTATTGTCTGTTTTGTGGATCTCCATGAGATCACAGTATCGCCACATGTATATAGCCGGTTTGCGATTTTGCTTTGTGTGGGTCAGACAAATACCTAGCATGGGCATAGCCTAATAACTCATGTCGAGAATCATTCGGGTAAAATAGGCCAAGATCACTTGTCCCTTGAATATAGCGCAAAATATGCTTAACCCCATTCCAATGTCGTTTGGTAGAAGATGAACTGAATATGGCCAATAAGTTTACTGAAAATGCAATATCTGACCTAGTGCTATTCGCTAGGTATATGAGTGCCTCTATTGCACTGAGATATAGTACTTCAGGATCAAGTATCTCTTCATCATCCTCTTTTGGTCTAAATGGATCCTTGTTAGGATCAAGTAACCTGACGATCATTGGGGTACTCAATGAATGTGCTTTATCCATATAAAATCGTTTCAATACCTTCTGGGTATAGGCGGTTTGGTGGATGAATATTTCATTATCCACATATTCAATTTGCAAACCAAGACAAAACTTTATCTTTCCAAAGTCTTTGATCTCAAATTCCCATTTCAAATATTCCACAGCTGATTGGAGCTCTTCAGGAATTCCGATAATATTGAGATCATCGACATATACTGCAATGATCACGAACTTTGACCCATTTTTTTTATGAAAACACATGGGCATATTAGGTCGTTAGTGTAACCTTCTTTTGTTAAATACTTAGTGAGACGGTTATACCACATGCGTCAAGACTGTTTAAGTCCATACAAAGACTTTTGTACTTTGATAGAATAACATTCTCTGGGATTTGATTTGCATGCTTCAGGCATGTCATAGCCTTTAGGGATTTTCATGTAAATATCATTTTCCAGTGAGCCATACAAGTAAGCAGGGACTACGTCCATAAGGCGCATACCAAGTTTTCATACACTGCTAGGCTTACGATGTATCTAAATGTGATACCATCCATAACTGGAGAATATGTTTCATCATAATCAATCCCAAGTCTTTGTGAGAACCCTTGGACTACAAGCCTCGCTTTGTATCTGACAATTTCATTGTCTTCATTTCTTTTTCTCACAAATACCTATTTGCACTCAACTGGCTCAACACATTCTGGTGTTTGAATTATAGGTCCAAAGACATTTCTTTTGGCCAGTGAGTCTAGTTCAGACTAGATCGCATCTTTCCATTTTGGCCAATCGTTTCTTTTCCGACATTCATCAACTGATGTTGGTTCAGGATCCTCGTCATTTTTCATTATATCAAGTGCCATGATATATGCAAATGCATTATCGATGACTATTTCATTGCGGTTCCAACTTTTATTTGTAGCGATGAAGTTAAGTGAATTCTTGATAACTTCATTTTCTTCTGAGGTGAGCTCTTCAGGAGCATCATCTTCAAGGATTTGTTCCTTGCCACTACAAATTGTTTGAGGGATTGAATCATTAATCAATATTTTTTTCTTTAAGGGATTCTTATCCTTGGAACTTACAGGTCTGCAACGCTTCAGGCGCGTAGAGGATTCATTTGCACTTTTCATTTGTCCTTCTGGGATATTTAATTTTTTCGGAGCATTTGCTGCATGAATATATGACCTGGTGACTCTGCTAGAGTCATTAAATGCATCTAGTAATTGATTTGCAATTTGTTGCAAATGTACAATTCGTTGTACTTATAACTCACACTGTTGTGAATGAGGATCCAAGAAATTCATAGGTATTTTCCAAGAAATTTCCTTTTTCAGTTGATTTTGTTCTCCCCCTAATGTCGGGAAATTTGTTTCGTCAAAATGACAATCTGTAAATTGCGCAATAAACAGATCACCCGTCACTGGTTTGAGGTATTTAATTATCGACGGTGATTCGCACCCGACATAGATTCCCAATCGACGTTGGGGACCTATTTTTGTACGTTGAGGTGGTGCAATTGGTACGTGAACCGCATATCCAAAAATCCTAAAATGAGAAATATTGGGCTCTTTTCCAAACACTAATTGTGTTGGGGAGTATTTCTGATAACTTGTCGGTCTGATTCGCACAAGTTTGTTGCATGTAATATTGCATTTCCTCAGGCAGAGACGGGGAGTTTAGATTTCATCAATAATGGTCTGGAAATTAATTACAGTCTTTTGATAAATGATTCTGCATTACCATTTTGGATGTGAGCATGAGGAACAAGATGTTCAATAATTATTCCCAAAGTCTTGCAATAATCATCAAATGCTTGTGATAAATATTCACTGGCATTATCGAGACAAATTTTTTTTATTGGATAATCAGGAAATTGTGCTCGCAGTTTAATTATTTGTGCAAGTAACCTTGCAAATGAAATATTACGCGTAGATAGCAGACATACGTGTGACCATCTCGTTGATGCATCAATGAGCACCATAAAATATTTAAATGGCCCACATAGTGGATCTACAGGTCCACATATATCACCCTGAATTTTTTCTTGAAATGATGGGGATTCAGTCCCAACTTTGGTTGGTGACGGCCTGATTATCAATTTGCCTTGTGAGCATGCAACGCATGCGAATTCATTTGAATTCAAGATCTTTCGATCTTTCAATGAATGGCCAATGGAGTTTTCGATTATTCACCTCATTATGGTATTTCCAGGATGCCCGAGCAGATTGTGCCAAATCAAAAATTCATTTGATTGCGTAGACTTCAGGTCCACTGCATATGTATCAACGGTACTTATTTTGGCATAATACAAGCCAGAGGACAATGAGGGAAATTTCGCAACTGCACATTTATTTCCATTGATGATTTTTGTAATCACCAAATATTCATTATTTGCCTCTTCCATTGTTTCAATATGATATCCGTTTTTACGAATATCAGTGAAACTCAGCAAATTTCTTCGAGCTTTACTCAAGAACAGTGCATTTTGTATTTCAAGTCTGATTCCTCCAGGGAAACAGATAAGAGCCTTTCTGGAACCTTCAATTGTCGCACTGCCACTTATTATGCTGACTTTTGATTTTCCCAACTTCAGGTGGGAGAAATACTTTTTGTATTTCAATATCGTGTGCGTGGTCGCACTATCGATTAGGCAAATATTGTCCTCTTTATTATATGTATTGTGACACGTGACATTCATATTCTTTTCAGAATAAAACAAACAAAAAGACAATACATTAATATAGCTGATGGAATACAAAATGATACAAAAAGAGGGGTATTACAAAAAGTATAGGGGGTACAAAATGTAATAAAGCCGTAAAATACATAGTCACTTGGCACCTTTAGGGTGCTCAAGGAAGTCTGCTGTATCAAGATGCATAAGGTCGTTGTTTAGGACATCATCATATGTGTCATCATTATTCTATTCAGCAAGGTTTACATCAGCGGATGTGTTCTTTAGGACATCATCATATGCATCATCATTATTCTGCTCAGAGAGATTTACATCATCAGACATATTTTTCCCTTTCAGTGAAGCCTGGTACAAATCAGCTAAATGCTTAGGCGTTCTGTAGACGTGCGACCAGTGTCCCTTTGTGCCGCACCTGTGGCACTTATCTTTATAATTTCTTTTCTGCTCGTTATTCTGCCACTTCAGGGGCTTGTATGGTTTCTTGCCATTATTTCGATGAGGTTGGGGATGGTTGCATTTTTGGCCCCTGCCATATCTCCGGCCTTTGTTGTTTCCACGGCCTGAATTTGCAGACTGTACCGCATTCGCTTCAGGGAATGGGCTGGAACTTGTTGGCTTGGATGCATGATTTTTCAACAACAGTTGGTTGTTTTGTTCTACCAACAAAAGACAGGCAATAAGATCTGAATATGTTCTAAAGCCTCTCTCTCTCAATATTGCTACTGTAAAAACAGGTTTGAGGCGTGGAATGTGGAGAATGTTTTTTCCATCATGTCACTGTCATTAATATTCTCACCGCATAAGTTCAAATGTGAAGTGATCCTGAACATGACAGAATTATATTCAGTGACTAATTTGAAGTCCTGCAACCTCAAATTGTGCCATTCGCTATGGGCTTTCGGCAGTACGATCAACTTCAGGTGATCGTATCTTTCTTTTAGTTTATTCCACAAGTCATGAGGGTTCTTGACTGTAAGATATTCTATTTTCAGTCCTTCTATCGATATGATGTCGGAGGAATATCATTGTCTTTTCTCGGCTCTGAGTTGTGGCATTATTGCCTCTCGCAATCGTTTCACCCAGGCCCATCGATTCCAGATGCATTTCAACATCCATGGCCCACGACAAATAGTTTTTGCCAAAAATGACAAGTGGGACAAATTCCTGTTTTGCAATGTTAGTAGCTGATGACTCCAAATATGAGCATATTCTTAGCTTGACAAAACTGTGAATTACTCGAGTTTCTGTATAAAAACCATCATAATAATCCATTGATGGCATACATTATTGATCCATATCGCTTGGCATGATCCAAATTTCGTTGTTGAGATTATTAACGATTTTTGCCCTTTTTAAGCGGTAGTCTGGTACCAGAAAAGCTAAGGCAGACGCCGCAAGTGACAGCCGCCTCCGCTCGCAAGCGCCCATAATATCTTCTGAAAAAGACTAAGGCATGAGAGGCAAGCGGTAGCTTACACTGCTCGCAAGCGACAGCCTCTCCCGCTTGCAAGCGACTGTCCAGACACCCATCGCTGCAGATCATCCCCAGATTTCAACTAAGTGTTCCAACTGCAGTGGTACAACCATTTCATTTCCAGTCAGCAAGCGAGCCTAGCTGCATTGATGCCATCCAGCTCTCCGGCAAGCGAGGAAGATCTGAGCCCTTGAATTTCAATGCAATTAAAGCGAGCGCCCTGGGAGTTATGGCTAGTAACTGCTTCAACGGAATAACTACCAATAACCGCCTAACTGCCCAGCGGTTGGAACCGCCCAGCAATTGATTGCAACCGTCCTGTTCACCTACTATAAATATGCCCAGATATCTTTATGAAAGAGGGATCGATACTTCGATTTTAAATACTCTTAGCAATTACTTTTCGCAAGCAAGTCGTCTTCATGTCTCTGAGAGCTCCAACCTTGTAAGGGAGTTCTCCATAGGAATGGCCAAGGGAGCAGGGGTTTCCCTCCTCCCTTGGCCAAGTCTTTACAGGTTGATTAGATTACTGCTTTCGTTTACAGCTTTGTAGCTCTAGTCTTTCCCTGCTTTCGTAGTAGATAATGAAATATCATTCAGTTCTTCATTCTCTTTTCTTCCACACTTTTTACACACTTATATAAAGTTTGAATTTAGAGAATTTCATTTCACTGGTCTAGAGCAAGAGAAGAATTGATTATTTGAGCCTTGTTATGCGCCAAAAGCGGTCTCAAGGTAGTTCAATGTAGTTAAGTACGCAGGAGCCTTGTCGACCTGCTTAACTAATGTTCTGAATTAAATTTTGATTAAAAAGAGGTAACAGAAGGGTAAAGCCACTAATGAGGCAGATATTGGGAAAATTAACGGGGCATAGGCGGTGGTCTATTAGGTCACAGAGATTCCTAGTGACAGTAGGGTTTCTTTCTTATAATGTCTCGATTCTGGAGGTCATTGAAGTCTTGTTGTAAATCCCTGAAGGTCAAAATTCCAGTGCTATGAATTCTTTATATTTCAGTTTATATAATTACATTATCCCCTTCTAACTGTTTCCGTAATATATATATTTCCGATAACACACTTACATCACTCGCTCACTACATCCAGGGAAATCTATCCATTTAGTAACGCAAAGTTCAAATACAACACCTCTTCTTCACTCTCTGTCGCTCATCTATATATATATCTATACATATAATGTGCCACTCGCTCATGTCCCGTTCACTCGGTAACCGCTATTCATCTATGTCCCATTCATCTGGTCCCCACTTCTGCTCATGTCCCGATCATCTGGTTACTACTGCCATTTCTCCTTCCGCCCTCGCTTCGCTCGCTTCCGCTCACCTCATTTTTACCGCTTTCTTTACCGCTTTTGATAGCTTAGATTTAGCGGATCCCCTCCTGCATTTTCGTCGCTTTTTCAAGATTTTTACCTTTGAAATTCATGACTCAAAATCCTTGTGTTCGACCTGGAAACTCTCTAGTAAAAAGAGTATAAATAATTGTGATAACTACTCAGGGTCTACAACCACAAAATTACTATATCTGATCATCTTTTATATAAACTTCCATTCACTGATTTTTGAACATAAATTCCCTGTGGGTTTGTACAAAATTAAATAATAAAAATTTTTGTTATCATAATTTTGGGCCGTTCCCGGGGATTTTGAACTCATGAAAAGTATTTTGGTTGAGGATCTTTTGAAGCGCCATAATTTACTCTTAATTCTTTGTAATCGTAGTTTTTGTATTTTTACTAATTTTGCTAACCTTTAATTTGGTGTGGCTGTCATTATGTAGGGGTCTGAAGCATTTTTAGCGTCCCAAAAGTCCTACTCCTTCCGCTTGATCACAGAGACGTCTGTGCAGAGAGCAAGTGCGAGAACAACTTATGGCGAACCAAGGAAATGCCACTTCTACTGTTGTCCCAGCTGTCCAGACTGCCGCTGGGACATCTTCAAACTCCGCCACATCTGCATCCTCGCAGGAGGTGCCGCTCCACATCCCAACTGTGGTCCCCACTGTCATTCCCCATGCGCTCACACCGACTGAGGAGCAGCTCATAAGAGCCCTCAGTAGCATCCAACAGGAAATGGTGGGGCTGCAAGCGCACCTCGCTTAGGTGGAGAAAGCCCAGGCTGCACACGGGGTGTTTATCGCTTCCCAAGCGGCTCAAGCTTCCAACACCGCTGCGATACCCCCTACCATCACTCCCCTACCACCTACTGCTGAGCCTAACTAGAGGGTTGAGGGACACAGGGCTGCTGATCGCCTGCTTGCTGAAGTCCCCATGGACGTTCACTACCAGTCCCCTATGGATCATATATTAATTACAAGTTCTGCGCCCAGAGGCTCTGCCCATTATGAGGTGAAACCAGCGCTCGTCAGCCTGGCGAGCCAGAGCCAATTCCATGGGCTACTCAACGAAAGCCCTTAGGAGCATTTACAGAACTTTAACAGGATCGCTGCCACCTCCAAATCTCACGGAATCACGGAGGACTCTGCCAAACTGATTCTGTTTCCATTCTCTTTATCAGGAGAAGCCAGGAAATGGTTCGATAACCTTTATCCCATTCCTGGCTCTTTTAAGGAAGCAGCGCATGCCTTCTTGAGTAAATACCATCTTGTATCGAAGACCATTCGCTAGAGGAATGAAATACTCACTTTCAAGATGGCGAGTGATGAGACCCTTCCCAAAGCCTGGAACCGATTCAAACAATTGCTCCGCAACTGCCCTCATCATGAAATTCCGGACTTCATGGAGCTGCAAATTTTCTACTCAGGAATCACTCCTGAACTGAGGATGTCATTGGATGCAGTGGCAGGAAGCTCGTTGATGGGGCGCTGTGCCTCAGAAGTGAGGGCTTTAATAGAGAAGATGGCGGCCAATCAGTCAAGTTGGCCAGAGTCCAACAGGCCCGAGCCATCGAGGGGTCTATACCAGGTTCCTTCTTCTATTTCTCACGATGCAAGGATCGACAGTCTGTTGATCCAAGTCAAGGAGCTGTCTAAGCTCGTGAAGCAGGACCTGCGTAACAAAGGAAAATAGGCGCTGCATGAGGCCGCGGAATGTGAGGAAAGTGCTTTTGTAGACCATCAAGGTCCGCAGGTTGCTGTGTGCTCGACTGAAGAGGCTCATAACCCAGCGGAGGTCTACTATATGGCTGGCAGAAATGCCCCTCAATTCTAGCAGTTCCAAAAGGGGCAGGCTCAAGGCCCCGCTGGACCACGTCCTCAGCAGCAATTTCAGAGACCACAACAGTTCGCTGCGCGACAATATCATCAAGGGGGATATCATCCACATCAACAATACTTTCAAGCCCCCCACTTTCCGCAGCAGGCACCTGCATTTGCCCAACCTCCCACAGCGGCCTAAGCACCGCTGAGTCTGGAGGAACTCAGGAGGAACACAGAGCGAGCAAATCAGGAGTTCCAAAGAAATACTTTTGCCTCGATCAAAATGCTGGAAATTCGAGTCGGGCAGATAGCTGAAGCTATGAAGCTAAAGCAAAAAGGAATGTTGCCTGAGACAGTCAAGACTGTCCGAACCAAGCGAAGGCCATCGAAACAAGGGGAGGGAAGCGGACACAATCACCACCGTTGCCAGACAGAGATATTAATCATTCTCCTAACCCTATAGTTTCTAACATGCCTGTGCAGGATAAAGTTATACATATTCCATATGAGGAAGAAGGTCCATCCCAACCTCGAGCGATACCAGCCGCTCGGGTGCCTGAACCGAAGGAAAAGGGTCCCGCTCAGCCCTTGGCTCGAGCCCCCTTTCCCACACGACTAGGGAAGAAGGACAACTCCAGAGAATTTGATAAGTTTGTGCATACTTTTCGTAGTTTTCAAATTACTATACCGTTTGTTGATGCTTTGTACAAATGCCACATTACGCTAAGTTTATTAAAGATATAATCAATCGAAAGCGGGCATTCCATGACGAAGCGGCAGCGGTGCAGTTGGAGAGTGTGTGCAGTGCCGTATTTAAGAAGGACCTCCCAAAGAAACTCAGCGATCCTAGGAGTTTTATTATTATTTGTACTATAGGAAATTTAGAGCCGATTAGAGCATTATGTGATCTAGGAGCAAGTATCAATCTTATGCCCTTTTCGTTTTTCTCTAAATTAGGGCTTTATGAGTTAGAAGCATGCAGAACTGTAATTCAGCTTGCCAATAAATCAATAAGATTACCTAAAGGAATCATCCGTGATGTACTCGTGCAAGTAAACAAATTTATTTTCCCTGCAGATTTCATTATAATGGAAATGAGCGAAGATCGCAAAATTCCAATTATCCTAGGGAGACCTTTCCTAGCCACCGCTCAAACTACGATAAATATCGCCGAAGGCGAAATCTCATTAAGCTTTGGTTGCGATAAAGTCACATTTTCCATGAACTCAACATTGCGTCAACCTCAGGAAGAAAATTGTGAGGACTTAAAATCTCATTGCATTTTTTTTGTCGCTTTCTTCAAGATTTTCACCTTTGAAATTCATGACTTAAAATCCTTGTATTCGACCTGGAAACTCACCAGTAAAAAGAGTATAAATAATTGTGATAACTACTCAGGGTCTACAACCACACAATTGCTATATCTGATCGTTTTCCTATAAAATCCTACTCATTGATTTTCGAATAAAATTTCCTGTGAATTTGTATACAAGTTACAATAACAAAATTTGGTCATCATAATTTGGCGCCCTTGCCGGGGATTTTAAACTCATGAAAAGTATCTTTTCGAAATCTTTTGAAGCGCCATAATTTACTTTTAATTCGCTGTAATCATGACTTTTGT